GGGTTATATTAGGGCTGTATTGGGGCTATATTGGGGTTATATTCCCCCAAATTCTCTGAGCCCTCAATCCCTAAAATTGATGCCAGGAGCCTTCTCAATGATGCCCTCGTCAATGGAGTCTTTGTCAAAGCCGGACTCCATGACCATGAACCAAGGTACCGTCTGCACTGTACGAGTCGATACAATATGTCCTGAGGCTTAGGGTTCATGGGTTTGGTTAGACTGCCATAATCTCGTTGGTAATACCCACATATCCCTAGGGTCCCCTAGGGCCCCCATTCAAGCACCCCGCACAAGCATAAGCTGGTTCTTGAAACTCTGCGCAAAGCACAATGCTCATCGGTGGGTCCTAAAGCCCTTCCGCACTGACCACGCGAAGTCTCTTCCACGGAAGGAACAAACCAACCAACCAACCAACCTCGCCAACTGGAAGCCGCAAAGACTGCTGCTATTCATTTCGCACGCGCCTCTTAGTGTGAACGGCAAATTTGAAAACTACTCATTTTAGGCGGACCGATAACGATACCCCAAACCGTAGAACTAATCCCGAACATAAGCCGCACGGCAAAATCCCCTCAGAATCGTGCGGGCACATATATGTATATACAGATATCACCATCTCCTAAGTATCCCTATGCCCTAAACCCCTAAAGCCTGAAACCCTAAAACCCTAAAACCCTAAATAGTAGTTTCCATTTTCTTTTCCATTATCCCAAAATAACCCCTATATAACCCCTATTTATATACCCCTACATAATCCCTATATGCTTAATATCCCTAGGGCTACCCGACATTGAGAAAGACCAACCCGTGGCCAGGCTGAGGAGTGGTCCAAAGGGACCATGGCCGTCAAAAGTGCAAATCAGCCTTTGGAAAGGGTTTAGGGTTTAGGCCAGGTTTAGGGTTTAAGGTTTAGGGTTTAGGGTTTAGGCCAGGTTTAGGGTTTAAGGTTTAGGGTTCAGGGTTTAGGGTTTCAGGATTTGGAGCTTGAGGGTTTTTAAGGGTTGGCAGTGAGGGGCAGGGGGGGGCTAAGGTTTTAATGTGCGCAGGCTTGTCAGGAGTTCATCACGCCCACCATTCACCTAAAACCCTGGTGAGATTCTGGCACTAAATTAAGGATACCACTGTAAGCATTCCCGCGCCGAACGGTTTCAGTCGGGGGGGGGGGCCATGATGACGGAAACTCCCTACACTCTAAACCTTAAACAAAGCTGTAAAACGTTCATCTTGAAACTATTTACCCTGTACTTATCTCTAATTAGCAGGGAATGAAGGACTGGAAAAGCAAATGGGAAGTACAGTGTATTATTAGGGATTATGTAGGGAAACAAAGGTAAGCATAGCTCATAAGCCCACCATCTGTCGAGAGCTCGCGCGACATGGTTTTGAAGGCCTAACTGCCTTTGCAGGAGATTCAGCCAGTGCAGTTTAGGGTTCATTGGAAGTATGGGGGGTTGGGGTGCTGTCTGCTTCTGTACAATTTCAAATCATCATAAAACAACACTTCGCCCAAGCTATCGAGACACTATGGCACATTTGACTTGAGACCATAAAAATGTCCCAGCAACGTGTAGCCGCTTTTGAAATGCGTCACGGAGAAATTATCCTGGTTTGGCGAAGTGTCCTGCAGAAGACGGAGCACGTGTTTCACTCAACAGTCGCTGCCGCTGCTTTCACATGCAAGTACAGCGCTTGTCACATGACCAATAGGCGGCTCGTTTGCAAAGACACCACAGCCCATGATGACTGCCACAACGGTTACCCGTGGAGGAAGAATGTGCCAAGCAAGGGTGCCATCAACAAACCCAAGGACATGCAAAGGAATGCACAGGCTTACCAACAAGTCATTTTAGGGACTTCTCAAGACAGAGGTGTACCTCTGGTGCCTGGGGGCTATGTGGGGATTCTGAGTGCCACCCGCTAGTAACTGCAAGGAATTATTTCTACCCGGGACGCCGCCCCAGTCCTTGAAGCCCTTGCAGCCCTTCCTGAAGCAGTCGGACCAACTTGTCATGAAGCCTAAACCCTAAACCCTAAGGGCCAGGGGCCAAGAGGCAGCGAGCCACTCCCTACTATCAGTAGCACACTCTCCTGCTATCCTCAAGTGAAGAATTGGTGGTTCAGGGTTGGCAAGCAGGTTTCTAGATCACTTCAGGCTGCCCCGCGATTAAGAAAATGCAAGGAAATAAAATGAGCATGGAGCTGTGGCATTCTGTACCACGGGTATTAAGATTGTTGACGAGATTCACTGCCCTCTTAAGTGACCCCGAAGTTCTAAGTAGGTTTGGGACCTCTTGAGGTCGGGAGAGTGGAGGAATGCATGTTGGCTCCAGAAGCTTTTTTTTGGACAGGCAGGACCAAAGAGTGAATGTCTGCATGAATCACTGTGATTTCCTATGAGCCCTACAATGCAGTCTCTCATTCTGCTCCAAATGTCAGGACTTGTAGCTGCAGCTCTTGTTGAATTACCTCATCACCTACATCATCCAGCGGCATTAATGGTGATGATTCAACCCTAAACCCTAAACCTTTGATTCCCTACTAACCCCAGTAAGGAGAAGGTGGGTCTGTTGAACTGGGCTTGCTCTTACCTACACTTCCTTCATGGGGGGTTTACCAAAATTGGGGATACATTTCTGGGGCCCCTTAGTATTAGGATTGTGTGTTTGGGGTCTACATTTGGGTAAATGTATTTTGGGAGAATAGTCTCCAGACGGATGCCGCAGTAGGAACCGTGTTATCTCAGTTATCTCCCAAATGCTGTTCAAGATGCTGGCATGCGATCAGCGGTATTGGATCAAGCGGAATGTTGCCCCACATAACCCGCTCGCGCTCATCTCCATGCCTTTGATGCGGGGGCGCTCTCACAGCAATGCCACCAAATCTACTAAGGCAAACGTCTATTAAATAATCCGAACTTGCCTTTTTGCAACTGGGCTTTGGGAGTTACCGCCTGGAAAGATGCCCGTAGCTCACTCTCGGCATATTACTTGCCCTAAATCCTAAACCCTAAACCGTCAGTAAGATTTAGGTTGCATTGGTTGTTGTCGTTCAACTGTCTGAACTTGTCCATGCAGCCTTTAGGACGCAGGTTACATCTCCCAATATATAATAGATTCCGCAAAAGGGATTAAATATAGTGAAGTATTATAAAGCTTATGGAGGGGAATTCTCGGAGTGTAGGCTCCATTGCATTTTCCATTTCCTTTTCCATTTGATTCTCCATTATTCCCATAATTCCCCTATAGTCCCACGACTGTACCGCTATTACAGGGTTGTCTTTAAGGTCCCAGGGCAGAACTGTTCACACATCTTTGCTTTCTGTGGGCAGGTTGCAGGCCCGCATCTTTGACCCTTGAGCTTGCAAAACCCAAATCCATGAACTTTACCATGGCCTGCCCACCATCCCCTTAATTCCATTATGATAAAATGGAAGGTTATATTGGGGTTATATTGGAATCATGGGAAATACCATGAATGGAACCCTCCGCTCCGACAGCCATCGTAGCAGTCATCTCTCAAGACCGTGAGTTAGGCAACTTCTGATCATAGCCTGCATTCACATCGTCCCCAAGGGTTTAGGCTTTAGGGTTTAGTCAACAAAAACTCCCAGGAGCACTCTGCATGAGGCTACAGAAGGACGGGGAGGGGGCTCAAGGACGAAGTTGCTGCTGGCCCTCTGTGATCAAGCCGTGGGTATGGCCCACCACCTGCACGCGAAAAGATGAGGGTTTAGAAGCTCGGGCCCTAAAGTCAGCTGATCGTTGACGCTGCAGTTCCAACTAGAACAGAAGCGCATGTGATACACAGGACAAAAAACCTTTGGCCTGTAATGTTAGATCCCGATTAGGCTGGGGGCCTGAATTGCTTAAACTGTGCGGAGTTGCACGGCCAAAACAAAGTCTGAGAATAATGAAATAGAAACCCTTCTAGGTGCCTTATGAAATTCTTTTGAGCTTTTACCTGAGCCGATCCTGTTCCCTCCTATTGAACTTCATTGAAAGCTAGGACCCAGATTTGTTTGGGGACCCCCAACCCGTCATATTTATGAGGGACCCTATTTTGTTAGGGGGGATCCCCTACACTAATCAGCAATCGACATTATTGCCCAAGAATGCCTAAGAAGACATGTCACTTTCTGAGGGTCTCTGAGGTGCATGGACTCAAAGCCGCGCAGAGCGCGTTGCCATGAAGTGGGTTGTGATTTAGGAGGACCCCCCACCCTGTAATAGTGATATAAGAGGAATATAAGAGGACCCTAATAATTATAATCCTTATTTTTCCTTATAGTCACTATTACAGGGTGGGGGGTCCACCTAAGTTGTGATGGACTGGCATTCTCCAACCTCAAGCTCCTTTCTCATCGTTGCACGCCAAGCCCTGCTCGCGTCCAGCGATGACCTACCCTAAGCCAGAAACCCTAAACCCTAGGTCCTCAAACCCTGAAACCTCAAACACCTAAACCCCCATGGTTTGAATTATGGTCCCCTAGTATTAACTCAGCCTAGATTCCTGATATACCTATCATGTACCTCATAACCGCCATATTGTTAGCCGGTCTTCCACGTTTAGGACCTTAGACCCTAGACCCTCAACCCTCAATCCCAAACCCTAGGCCCTAAACCCTAAACCTCAAACCCTGAACCCCAAACCCTAAACCCCAAACCCCAAACCCTAAACCTCTTGCTTCCGCCTTGGTCTTGAAGGTCTCGTCCAAGACTTCCTGCGGGATCACGTCGAAGGCAAAGGAGACAGAGCCATGGCCTGAGTCTTCATACTAATAACTTAGGAGGACCCCCCCACCCTGTAATAGTGGTATAATAGGAATATAATAGGACCCTAATATAATCCTTATTATCCCTTATAGTCACTATTGCTGGGTGGGGGGTCCACCTAACTAATAACAATAAGGGTTTAGGGTTTTGGGTTTAGGGTTTTAGGGTTTAAGGGCTTAAGGGGTTTAAGGGTCTAGGGGTTTAGGGTTTTAGGGTTTTAGGGTCTAGGGCTTTAGGTTTTTAGGGTTTTAGGGTTTAGAGCAATAATGATAGTAGCAGTAACAGAAATAATCATAGTACGAATGATGATAGTAATAATAACCATAAAGTGACAAGCTTAGTGAATAGCAAAGAAATGAAAACAAGAATATGAATAACAGTTGTAATAAGAATCCGAGTATATGTAATGATAAAAATGCTACTAATAGTGCCCATAATAGATTAACAATAGAACTAGTAGGCCTTGTGTCAGGGCTACATGAGGGTTTCCCAAAATTACGGGTACCCTTTGGGGTGGCAATAATGAGGATGAGAATATGTGGGGATCTACATTAGGAACCCCCTGTTTATGGAAACTACCAAAGCAGACGATTTTGGGGGTGCTAGGATATAGGGTTTACGGCCGAGGGGGTTAGGGTTTGGGGTGTGGGGTTCAGGGCTTCTTCGTTCTTTGGGTTCTGGGCTACATAAGGAGAATACAAGATTTAATCATGAGTGGCTGATAGACCAACACATAGAAGAAGCAAGGATCCTGTGCGAGGGAGGCTCCTGTAGAGCTCGCTAGGTGGTGAGTCGAACCCTGTCTGGTTCCCAATTTCTCAAACAAAAACTGGTAGTTTCCTAACAGTAAGGGGACCCAATGTAGACCCCAATGTACCATAGTCCTTATTATGGGGACCCCCAAAAAGGTACCCCTAATCTTGGGAAACCCCCAACTTGCAACTCAGCTGAATTTTGTCGCTGAAGAGTTGGTTCATGCAGTTCCCTGTTGCTTTGACGAAGCGGAAAGCACAAGTTTTGCCTAACTGCCATCCAGTGGCGGTATCGCGCCAGAAGGTGCTGCTGCATCTCTTCCTGCACACTTCCAAGTTTAATGCAAGCGGCCATACTAAGGCTGGTGGTATTTACGCTGTCCCCCCGAAAAGGCTAAGGACCCACACTATGGAGCCCAGCACTTTACGATAGAGACTGGGAAGGTTGTTATGATAGTGATAATGCTCAGGATCCTGAATTTTGGGGGCATCCGAATAGGGACCCAAAGAGGAGCCAGAATTGCCGTCAACCGCCAGAGTCTTTGGCCGAGGAGAAGGGTTAAGGGTGTTACAAGTAGGGTAAAGGATTGGGGGTATTCAGGGTGTTTGAAAAAGAAGTGTCAGCCAACAGTTATGGGTATGTTACAGGTGTGTCCTACAATGGACAGGTACTAAATGAATGGTGTTCTGAGCCAAGTTCCTTGAGAGTAGCCCAGAGTTATGACCAGGCCCACGCTTTGAGGGCGGGATACCGGCAGCAAAGCTATGTTCTGTATGCCCTGTGCAGAATTCCACATACTTGTCACTACCATTATGGAAACGAGGCAACCAGTTCTGCCAAGCCTTCCACCCTCATTCACATGCTGTGTCCACACAACCTCATGAAAGCAAGCTGGATCTGAGTTGGCTGCCAACTGTTTCTTGCTGTCTTCGCTCATGTTGAAGTCACCGCCTTGATGCGGTTGGCTAAATTAGTAAATGATCCTTACTCTTCGTCTGTCAGGATCCTCTACATGATTTGGGGTCAATCCTTTAAGGAGATATGCAACTTCTCACATTACGAATGTTTAGCTGTGACTCGGCATCCCTTTCTTGCATATGCCCGGTAACCGATTATTGCCAATACAGGCACCCAAGCCCTTGCTTCTTCAATCAAGAACGTTCCCTAAACCCTGAACCCTAAACCCTAAATCCTAGACGGAAATCACCTGCGCCTTCTTCATTCCTTCCTTCCTTTGCTACTCCGGGTCCTGCTCCTAGACTGCTAGTACGACGAGATCTCATAATCCTTGTTCACTCTACTATGACAAGGATGTCTGATGATATGAGTAGTAGGGATAGTAGGAGGAAAAGTAGTAGCATTAGCAGCAGCAGCAGCAGCAGCAGCAGCAGCAGCAGCAGTAGTAGTAGTAGTAGTAGTAGTAGTAGTAATAGTAGTAGGAGAAAAAGTACTACAACTACAACAACAACAACTACTACTACTACTACTACTACTACTAGCCGCCCCCCCCCCTAAGGCACTACCTTTTACTTAAATCTAAAACATAGATTTCTCGAGGAGGCGGCCAGTAGCAGTAGTGTGGAAATGCAGGGAATGTTGCCCGGACCTAGCAGGCGTGGGTTAAAGTGGCCATCCCTTAGGGGCGCTACGTGTTAATTTACTGGAATATTATGTCATTGTTGCTAGGTGCAGGCAGCAGGAATGCGAGCGCCCGAAATTACTATTTC